TGAGCATACATATCTCTACGCGCTTAGAAAAGTATAACGCGCGCGCGTAAAGCGCAAAAAACTAACTGCAACCAAATTTGGCTTAAATGTTTTTCGCCAAAAACACAAAAACGTGCAAATATATTGCATTAGGAGCATTTTTGTTGTTGTTATAGCAGTTGTCATACAAATTTGTTTGTTGTTGTTGTTGGCGATGTTGGAGGAAAAAAGTTGCACTCACAATTGCAATTAACACGCGCTGCCCGACGCGCATGCGCCAGTCGTAGCCAGCTAGCCACACGGTCGTTTGCCACCTGACAAATCAAAAGCAAAAAAAAACAACTTTTGTTAAATCATGAAAATAAAAAAAAGCATTAATACCTGAGACTTGTATCACGCGCATTAAAGCCGGCATAAGCGCATATGTATGTACATATGTATGTATGTACAGCTGCGAGTAAAAAATTAGCGGCAAAATTCAAATGATGTTGGCAATTTATGTTTATTTACTTTGAATAATTTTTATTTTATATATATATATTTCCGTCTGTAATAGAAACGTTTCATAAAAAAAAATCTAAAAGATCAACGGTAATTTTTATTGCACGAAGCTTGCACTTTATTATACTGAAATTGAACGGACTACAAAACTGCATACCCAAATTATTTCTAAGGAATCTAATTAAAAAAATCGATATTTTTATGAAAATTTTTTGAAGATTGATTCGGTTTTTGAGCTTTGTGCAAGTTTTGAATTTATAAGGTTTCTGTTATATTCAGATCGAACTATATGTATATTAAATTAAAATTATTAACAATAAATAAAAAATAAAGTTGCCAACAAATGTTTTGAATTTTACTGCTATTATTTTACTCGCCGGCTATACAACATGTGTATGTATGTACATACATAGAAGCTCATGTGGTGGCATGCGCTGCAAGGTGTTGAACAAATACAACAAAGGCCAAAAGCGGCACGATGCGGGAAATTAGGGAAACACCAACAAGACAACAAAAACTTTGGAAAACGTTTAAATGCTGCTTTTTAGACGGTAATTATTTTTAATGTTGTTGTTTTTTACAAACATATGTATATTTGTGCATACATATGTATATTAGGGTGGTCCAAAAATACATGCGGGGGGTTAAGTTTAAAATGTTAAGCTCTCATGCCCTAAAATTTTTCTAAATGGAAAAAATACCCATACATACATATATATATTTTTTTAATAATATTTAAAACTGATCAAAACCCATGAAGTTTCCCATGTATTTTCTATGAGGAAAAACACTTTTTCATCGAAATAGTATAGAAACCTTCCAAATCAATATTTTTCGATCGGAAAACCCTGCTGTTCATTTAACCCCTTTTTAATATTAACTACTTTTTATAGGTCTGCGCAGCTGCAAAAGGCTCTAGGTGTCTCGTGTCGCTGGCTCACTCCCATCTATGCCAGCTGCTTAAAAAGGTGACATGAGGAGTGTGAGGGTAGCATTCATCCCCAAAACACGTAAAAGTTCTCACGTATATCCGAGGGACTTCAGGCCAACCAGTATCTCTTCTTTTTAATTGAAAACTTTTGGGAGACTTTTTGATCTGCATATAAGAAACGGGATTCCTCGGGAGCGATAGAACCTCTCTCAGCATGCCTACTTAAAGGATAGATCCGTAGAATCTGCCTTGCACAAAATTGTCAAAGCCATAGACAAGTCTCTTAAGGATAAAGACTTTGCTGTTGGTGCCTTCTTTGACGTCGAGGGGCTTTCAATAATGTGTTACCTGGGGCGATAGTACGAGTTCTGAGCTTATCTATTGGCTATATGAAACTATAATCAAGCCAATCACGTTATATGGGGCCATCTTCTGGTGAAATTCACTGGAAAATACTACTCTTCTTAGGAAACTAGAGCGTTGAGAGCATTGTATTCAGGGAAGTGCTCCGGATCACTCCTGCTATAGCGCTAAATGCTAATATCAGTGTCGCACCTGCGGGCTGTTCCCTCAGCCATTGGTCTCAAAAGCTGTGGGTTCTCTTTCAAGCCGGCGTAAGCATATCCCTTCCAGGGGTGAATTGGAAAATGGCAGCCTCTGGAGTAGAGGTCCGATAAACATATCCACGGACGGATCGAAGCTGGACGGGAGAGTTAGAGGAAGTGTCTTCTGTCAATAACTCTCAATTCATCTTATGCTCGGACTGCCGGATCTTTGCAAAGTCTTTCAGGCAGAGGTGGCCGCTATATAACTAAGAGGCAGCCGATTGGCTATGCACCAATGTTTTTCCGACTACGAGGGTAAATATCTACTCTCATAGCCAAACGACTTTCAGAGCGCTGGGATCACTGATGGTGTGATCGAAACTGGTCGGGAAGTAACTGATCTCTCTCTCGATCACTTCCTTCTCAGCTGCCCGGCTTTAGCCCGACTAAGGTTTTAGCAACTCGGGGCGCATTTCATCAACACTCCCTAAAAGTTCTCCGAAGTGGATATCACCTGCCTGCGGAACTTTGTTTTGGGCACCCAGCGCTTTCCGATCAAAAAATATTGATTCTCAGGAATTGTATACCATTTCAACGAAAAAAAGTTTTTTTCCATATAAAGAACTTAGAAAACTTCATGGGTTTTGAGCAGTTCTAGATGTCATTCTTTTAACAAAAAATTACAAAGTTTTTTTTTCATTTCATATAGAACAATCCTTGGTGTGATTGCTTAACATTACATTTTTTTTTTTTTTAACCACCCTAATGTACATATGTATATATATACAAACGTACATATGAAAATATGTCATACAAGCGATTTACACTGAAACTCGCTTTTCCATTTTTGATTTTATTCCTCATATTTTTATTTCGTTTTATTTTTCACTTGGTGTTGCACTTGTTACTTCGCCTTTACCATTTGTTGTTTTGATAGCCGGCAGCGTCGCCGTTGGCCGAAGTAATATCTATGCAATAATGTCGGTATTAGTGTAACTGTATTTTCTTACGCTAGTTGCTAACACTTGCTGTAGCGGCATTTATTATTTTTTTTTTTTGTTATTTTATTTTACGACTTTTATTTTATTAATCACTCGCTCGTGTGTCAAACACGATTATAAACTTATGTACATACATACATATGTGCAAGTTTTGTGTGTGCATTTATATGCATACATACATATATCTGCTTAAATCAAAAATAGTCAAAATTCTAAATTTTTCAAAATGTATTTTTTTTTTTATATAACAGCTCACAAACCATATACATATCTAACGTCCGCTAAAATATGCATATTCATCGCTATCTTTAACTGGAAAAAATACTATTAAGCACAATATAACCAGTAAACAACCTTCGGTGAATTTGGCGACTGCCTTCCTCGGGGATGAATATGCTAGGGATGAAATTATTGGTACACACGCCTTCCAAGCACGTAGGGTTGCTTTTAATAACCAAAAAATAATTAACTCCAAATAGTTTCAATAAGTATAGTGTAAAACGAAATTTATTGAATAATTCCACATAAAATGG